CCCAGAGGTTTAATTACCTCCATTATGCAGATCAAATCTAAATTCTTCTGTGGTTATTTAAAGCCCTTCTTCCTCAGCCCCTTCCTACCTTTCTGGCCTTCTTATACAGTACTGCCTTCCATGACCCAGCTCCACTGGGCCTGTCTCTGCCTGCATTCCAGAATCGGCTCAAATCCCACCTTCTGCAGGAGCCTTTTGCTAGACTTTTCTCTCTCCTTCCCTGCTATCTTCCCTCTGAAATTACATGTCTATCTAGCTGTCTCTGTATCTGTCTATCTATCTATATCTTTATATACACAGTGGTTTGCATTTTGTCTCCCCCATTAGACATGAGCTCCTGGCAGGCAGGGCCCATGGTTTTGCCTTTCCTTGTATCCCTCGCACTCAGCATGGGGTCTGGCATACAGTAAGTGCTTAATAAATGCTTGTGGACTGAGTGACTCATCTTTCTCCTGAGCTGAAGTTCCACATCAGTAACTGCTTATTAGACTTTTGAATTGGATGCCTTATACGCACCTCAAACCACCCTCATCAGCCTTCCCCCAAACCCTCCCCTCTTTGGAACAGCCCTGGTAATGCCTCTCTTTGGCCTTCCAAGCTCTCCACAGCTGTCACCAGTGTACCTGTCTGGCTCTCTTCTGTGCACTCTGGTCCTGCTCACACGTGGCCCTGCCTCTCCTGGCCTCCGGATTTCACCCCGGCTCTTTCTCACTCCCAGAATGTCTTCCCTCCTCCCATCGGCCTTTCTAAGTCCTGCCTTTCTTCAAAGCCCAGTTGAAGTGCCGGCTCCCCTTTGGGACCTTTCCTGATCCCTGACTCCCCCTCCCCAATTACCTTGTATTGACATTTAAAGACTTTTCTGTGTAACTTGGCTGTGTGCTTGCCGCTTCCTCCAGCAGCATGTCAGCTCCTTGAGAGCAGGGCCTGTTTTGGGGGCATTGTATCCAAAGTGTCTGGCGCTTAGTGGGTGCTTTTTCTTCCGCTGACTCTTTCCTGATCCTCTGCAGTTTGCTCTGTGATAGGCATTCAGCTCTGCAGACGTTTTTAAGTACCTTCTGAGGGAAGAGCATCGTGCTGGGCCTGGGGGAGGTACATGGCATAGATGTGACCCAATTCCTGCCCTTGCAAAAGACTGCATATCTCCAAAGCTGAGATAGCTAGCATTCCATGATAGCATGCATCAGAGAGGGGCTTTGTGATGCCCAAGGAGCATACATGTGCTCCCAGCTGGAGGGATCTGGGCAGGCTTCCAGGAAGAGGTGACATTTGGCTTGGGCTTCAGAGGCTGGGGAGGGATTTACTAAGCAAAGAGGATGTTCCAGGCAGAAGGACTGGAACTTGTTTGGGGGCTTGTTGGGGTGGAGAGGATGTGGGGAAGGATGGAGGACGTCTGCAGAGGCCCAGGGTAGATACACTGTAGGGGTGCTGGATTCTTGTCCTAGACTTGCCACTAATTGGCTCTGCCCCTGACCAGGCCTCAGCGTTCCGTCTGCAGAATCAGGGGGTTGGACTTGTTGGAGCTGACAGAGATCATCCAACCCTTGGGTCCAAGCACGAGGCTGAGGGATCAGGAAAGGGTGCGTGTGCAGTGTGGCTGAGGGGGAAAAGAGCCCATGACTCCTTTGTCATGCCAGGCCGCCTCTTTCTGGTTTATCCCTTTACCTGAGATCCCTGCCTCTGGCAGGTGGGCTGCAGGCCGTAGAGGGAAGGCAGATTTCAACATGAGGGCAGGTCGATAGCTTTCCATTTCATGGAGTCGAGGCATTTAAGAAAAGCTCATTGAACTAGCTCATTGAAAGAAAAACTACTGTGGACAGTCCCTGTGCTTGCATTGGAAAAGGGTTTGTGGGCCCCTTGGCTTGACCCAAGCTACCTGGGCTGTTCAGTTGTCAGGCCCTGTGGCCTGGTGGGAAGAGCTCTGGACATAGATGGAACCAGAAGGATCTAGGTCAGTGTTTGTTCTCTGAAAAAATCACTTCTCTCTGAGACTCGGCTTTGTCATTTGTTAAATGAGTGATAATAGCACTTATATCACCTCCCCACCAGGCTGTTGAAAAATCATGCAAGAAGCATTTATTAAGTGCCTGCTGCATGCCAGGCTCTGTGCTAAGCACTCGGCTAACCCTTAAGGTCCTCTAGAAATGTGAGTCGGGTTGAGTCCCTAAACTGGACCCTTTGATCTCCAGCTGTTGGCTGTCTTTTATTAACGAGTCAAGCTAGCCCCATGGGCCTCTGGCTTCTCTCTTGGCTTCTGGTCTGGCTGCTATGAGGATGTGACTAATGGAGGGATGGCGTCAGTTATGGCATCACAGTGTCAGGAGGGCTTCCTCTTTGCTGCCCCTGTGATCGGTCTGAGGACTCATCTGCCTTTCTTCTTGGCGTCACCTGTCAGTGCTTTCTGGGGTCTGCTTGAGTTTAGGGATCTGGATTCAGGAGGCGAGAATCTTGGGTGAGGAAAATGGCTTTTTTTTTTAAACTTACCCCTTCTGTTTGTGGCAAAATCATAGAATGTCAGAGCTGGGAGAGACTTCAGTGGGTACAGGTCCAATCCCTACCTGACTAAGAATCCCCTTATCTATGGCATCTCCCTGCTCCAAGTTATTATCCAGCATCCCGAAGACCCCTAGGGAGTGGGGGGGGGGTGTAACTCTCTACCCCAGAGACAGCTCATTCACTTCTGTCATAGCACTGAGTGTGAGGATATTTCCCCCTATATCAAGTCTAAATTCAACTCAGTTCAGTGAACTCTCTGCATGTCTCCTTCTCGAAGTGCCCTAAGGCATCATGGGAGGCACCAGCTGCAAGGTAGGCCAGGCTCCAAAGTAAATACTGGTCTACCTCATTTTCTGTAAAAAATTGAGTGTCAGATTATACTTCAAGTTTTCTCAAGGAGCTCAAGTGAAAAAAATGAGAATGTTTGTTAGCAGTTATCACTGGACCTGGAATCATCTTAGGAAAGACCCTGGGGATGAAGAGAGGCAGAAGACCTGGGGCTGTCCCAGCTCTTCCTCAACCTAGGTCTATGAACTTGGGCAAGCCATTCATTCCCCATCTCTAAGCTTCAGTTTCTCCATCTGTAAAGTGTGAGAATTAGACTAGATATTCTCTAAGGACCCTTCCGGTTTTGACAGCATTCTACGTAAAGATGATAATTAAATCCTTGGGAGCTGCTGAGATCCCCAAATGAAGTTGTACAGAGGGAGAAGAGAAGAGGACTCAGGACAGAGCCCTGGGGGGATACCTATAGGTAGGGGGGGCGACCCAGAGGAAGATCCAGCAGAGGAGACAGAGCCTTGTACACAATAGGTGTTTGGCATTTGAAATTTATCTCCAGTGTGCCAGACCCCTCCGTCTGGACTGTGTTGATTGGCCTGACACATCATGTCCACGTGCCAGGGTGCCATGACTCCTCATCTTGGCCTCTTTGCCCCCTTTCCCTTTGAAAGTCACATGTGTCACCCTCTACATCCAGTCCATGGCACACTTTGCTTGGAACTTCAGTCGGCAGCTTCACTCTTTGGATCTTGAGCAGTGCCAAAAATATAAGATGCCTAGACATCTGGGCAACTACTAGCACAGTGGTTAGAGCGCCAGGCCTGGAGTCAGGAACACCCACATTCAGATATGGCCTCAGACACTCACCAGCTGGGTGGCCCAGGGCTGGTCACTGGAGCTCTCTGACTCGGAATTGTAGGGCAGATGCAGATCTCTCCTCCTGCCCCACTAAAATCACAAGCCTAGCCAGAAAACGCTGATACAGAATGTACATCGGTATGAGCTGTTACTTATTCTCCTAGTCTGCTTCCTTCTAGATGCTAAAAATGGAAAAGCAGAGAGACAGACACACAGACAGGGAGACAGGCTCTGTAAGGCTGCACAGTAGACCTGTCACTGGTGGGCCACCAGCTGGATCCTGCTAGATAATTAAAAGGGATTTTCTGTTTGAATGAGAAGGGGGTGGAGACACGACTGGGTTTTTGATAGTGTGAAGGGTCCGTTGACAGAAGAAAGTCTAGAGTGGCCTGGTAGCCAGGTAAAATTATCCATCAGGTGGTGGGAAAGGTCTTTTGGATGTTTTTTGAACAGGAGTCCAGAAATTATACTTGGGGTGTCAAGTCAGCACTTTTCCTTTGGGGTAGAGGAAGGAAGTTCAAGCTTGAGGGTAAGGAAGTGGCCAGAGCCACTTTGGGGCCTATGATTGGCACTGGAGCCTCGAGATAGAAACCGTCTTGGAGGAGGGAGCCCAGATGTCCCCAGGCCTGTGGTTCAGCAGCTCTCCTGCCATTGGCTGTTCTAGGCCCGGCCAGCCTGGCTAACTCTGTGCTCAGCCTTCCTGGGAAGTGTCTGAGGCTTCTCTCTCAAGCGTTGCCCCCAGAGCGCCTTTTCCATGGATCTTTCTTTCCTCGTTCCTTGGCTCCTCGAGATGTCTTAGAGCTTCACGTGCCCCATGCTGTAGTTGGTGAGTTGGGCCTTTTTTTGTGCTCACGTCTGATGATGAAAAAGCCGCCATGAAGAAGTTCCACATCTGAGTGTGGGGTCGGTAGGGCTCAGTGGGGTTCACCCTTCTCCAGAAGGGGCACGCGGACCTTCCTTCTGGGGGCAAAGGGCTTCTAGCGCATGCTTCTTTTTTTTATTTATTAACTTATTTTGAATTATCAACAATCACTTCCATAAGCTTTTGAGTTTTAAATTTTTCTCCCCCTCTCTCCCACCTCCCTCCCCAAGATGGCTTGCAATCTGATATAGGCTACATATATACATTCCTATTAAACATTTTCACATTAGTGATGTTGTAAGTAAGAATTAGAACCAATAGGAGGAACCACCAGAAAGAGGAAACAAAACACAACAGAAGAAAAACAAATAGCAAATAGTATGCTTCCATCTGCAGTCAGACTCCATAGTTCTTTCTTCTTTGTGGATCTCATTTTCCACCATGAGGCCTTTGGAGATGTCTTAGATCCTTGTATTAGCGCATGCTTTCTCTTGGTCTCTTTTAGATGCCACATGTGGTGAGGTGCCAGCAGACTGGGGAACTGAATGCTCACTGCACATTTCAGGTGAATTACAAGGACCGATGAAAGCAGCCCCAAAGCTGCGGAAGAAAAGGACAGGCCGGCCGATTTAGAGTTCAGTTGAGACCTGAATTCTCTCAGACTCTGTCTTCACCTAGCTGAGAGAAAGTCTAGGTAAGAATGACTTGGTCTTTGGAGTGCTGCAGGTGGTTGTTTAAAGAAAGCTGGGCTGGGCTTGGCTTTGCTCGGGGCACGGCTGTTCTGTGAGGCTTGGGGGCTGCTCTTTCTCTTCGGGGGAGGGGCTGGGAGGAGTGCCCAGTTTAATGCTGATTTGGGTTGGGAGGCTTGGCTTCCCTGAGAGGCTTGGCAAAGATGCTCGCTGGGTTTCCCACAGTGGTTTATTCTCTGAATTCTTCCTTGTGGTGCCGCCGTGGATGAGGTTTCTGGAGACTCCACCCAGTATTTAAGCAGGAAGTGCGCCCCTCCTCATCGGGCATCTAGTCGTAATGCGCCTTTCCCATACGAGCTTCCTGCAGGCTTGGTTCCCACGTGGTTGAGTCCAGAGCCGCCTCTCCCCGTGTGTTCATCGCTGTGGTTTAGCCCTGTTGTTGAGCCAGCAGACCATCCCCTTGACTTCCCCATCCATTCTGGTTATCGGCGTCATCCTAGGACTAGAAACCTCCGAGACCTCTTGGACTTTTCAAGCCCTGTCCCCATCATTGGCCTGGAGAAGTCACTTGAGAGAGAGACTTGGGGTCAGCACTGACCTGGCACTGACCTTTAGCTCAGCTCCTGATTCAGTCCTCCCCTTTCTTTGGAGCCTCAGCTCTCTCTTCTGTCAAAGAGGAGTAGACAGGCTCGTGCTCCCTGGGAGCTTCTGAAGATGCGAGGTGTAAGCTGCGGGTCCTCCCTTGCCAGGTGCGCTCAGGTCTACCTGCACAACCCTTCTCCCTCCCTGATAGCTCTGGGCCAGTCACTTATGTTTGTTCCTCTGTGTGAGGTTTTCCATGCCTTGTCAACCTTAAAGCTGCGGTGAAGTAGGAGTGAGCGTTGTTACGCCCTGTCTCTGCCCCTCGGGCCTAGGCAGTTCGACCAGTCTCCTAATTGATTTCCCTGGCCCCAGATCCATCCCACGTGTGTGAACTGTACTGATAGGAAGCTCTGGGGATAGCACTCCCCTCACCTCCACAGGGGGACCAGGAGGACAAAAGCATGCCCACAACAGAGTTCCATGGCTCAGTCCCTAAGGGCTCAAGGCCCACGGCCACGATTCCTCTGCCTTGGAAGAGCTGAGGCTTAGAGGAGAATGGGGAGTCAGATTATTTCCCAAGAGGTGGCACCTGAGCGGAGCCGTCAGGAAAGAAAAGGTACTGAGACCCAGGAACAAAGAGGGGGGCATTGCCCCCACCCCATGCAGCTGAACTGATGTGTTATGTTTGGGCAACAGCTGGCCGGAATGAAAGTGTGTAGAGAAATAAGGGCAGCAAGAAGGCATAATACAAAATGCCTGCAGCAGCCACAAAAGAATGACGATTGAATTGCCCCCTCTGCCACCCTCACCCCTCTCTGCTGCCCTTGCTCCCTTCTGCAGCTGAATGGAGCTAGAGGAAGTCTCTGCTGCAGATGTATGTTTCATGGCCTCACCTGGGCCCTCACTGCTGCGAGGCAATCCTTTTATATCTCCCCCTGCAGTGGCCCTTCTAACAAATCCCCCTCCCTCCACCCTCTCGGACCTTGTGTATTTTACTGAAAAAAGTGGTGGCCAGTGGCCATGAGCTCCCGCTTCCCCCTCCTCCTCCTCATTGGACATCCCTCGTATGCCCTCTGCCCGAGGCTGACCCTGCTTGCTTGTCCCATCCCGTCTGCCCCAGCAGACAGTCTCCTCTAGCATCCTCACTCTCACTTCTCCTCAGCCTTGCCATGCCCACCTTCGGCTTCCCTGCTGCCTACAGACATGACCACGGCTCCCCCACCCTCGGGAACCATCCCCTCTAGCTCTCGTTCCTGTCTCTCCTCCATCATCGCCAGCCGTGGCCCCCTTTGGACTTAGCTCTCATTCAGCTGGAGCTGCTGTCTGCAAGGTTCCTGGGGATCTCTCTGTTGTCAGATCTCATGGCTTTTCCTCCGTCCTCCTCCTTCTGGACACCGTCCATCATCATCTTGTTCTTGGCACATCTTCCTCCACTCCTCTTGCTTCTCCTCCCCGTCTGTATGCCCTTCATCCCCCTCGCTGCGTAATGATGATGGGGGTCATCCAAGGCTCTGTCCTGTCGCTTTTCTTCCCCCTCTATACCACTTCACTTGATCTCATTAGCTCCTGTGGATTTATTGATCATCTCTGTGCCGATGATTATCTGATCTCTCCTGACCTCCAGTCTCGCATTTCCAGTGGCCTGTTGGACATCTCCACCCGGGTGTGTCCTGTAGACATGTCTCTTTCCCCCTAAGACCTTATTTCTGTGGAGGACACCACCATCCTGCCCGTCACTCAGGCTCCAAACCTGTCTCTTCACTATCTCTCATTCCCGGATCCGTCGGATACTTGTCCTTGTCCCCTGACACTGTCACCACCTTGATGCAGGCCCATGTCCACTCAGCCCTGGACCATCACAGTAGCTGCTGAGGGGTTTCGCTGACTTAAGTCTCTCCCCACTGCAGTCTGTCTTCCTCTGACCTGCCCAAGTTATCTTGAGAGCAGGTCTGGCCATGTCACTCTGAGCTCTTTCTCTGGCTGTGTTCCCTGCCTGGAATGCTCCCCATCCTCATCTCTGCCTCTTGACTTTCCTGGCTTCCCTCAGGTCTCAGCTAAAGTCCCCGCTTCAGGACAGCTAGGTGGGTAGAGCACTGATCCTGAAGTGAGGACCTGAGTTCAAATCCTGCCTCAGACCAAACACTTGATGCTTACTAGCTGTGTGACCCTGGACAAGTCACTTAACCCCAATTGCCTAAAAAAATATTAGATAAGTAAAGTTCCTCCTTCTACAGGAGGCCTTTCCTGATCCCCCTTAATATCGACGCCTTCCCTCTGTTGGTGATCTCGATGTATCCTGACTGTGGTTTGCATGTTATCTCCCTTATTAGACTGTGAACCCCTTGAGGGCAGGGACTACTTTTCCCTTTCTTTGTATCCCAGGGCTTAGCTCAGTGCCTGGCATGCAGTAGGCGCTTAATTAATGTTTATTGACTAACTCTCACAAAATTGTAAAGAACAAGCCTGGCTAAGGAGAGCTATGAGAAGACACTGCCATCCTAGAGGGCGGAGCTCCACAAGGGGTATATGTTGCAGGGCAGATTTTCAGACTTTGCCAATGTATTGATCAGTTAGATTGATTTTTTTCCCCTCTTATTTTTCTTTTTCTGACTTAGAAAATACCACTCAGTCACTAGGTTCCTGTCAGCCAGGCCAGCTTACTGTTCCCCACATACCCTGGTCCACCTCCAGCCTCCAGGCCTTGCCTCCCCCAGACCATCCTTCCCATTCCTGAAAGGTTCTTCCTGTCCCCCGGGCTCCTCCCATCTCCACTCACCCTCAGTCTAGGTGTCACTGGCAGGTACATAGCCTGCATTTTCTCTGGGAACTCGTTCTGTTTCCTGGTGGAATGGGAAGTCCTGGAGGGCGGGCACTAGGTGACATATGTCTCTGTGCCCCTCGGCTTATACGTGCTTGTTTATCGGGCCCCTTAGGCCATATTGGTGGCATAATAGGCTTGCGCACTTCCAGTTCTGCGTTTGGGGCGACAGGTCCAGTGTTGGCCAGCTTCCCTGGCCTGGTCTGTAGTGACCAGATGCAGGGTGAATGCACTCAGCAGAACTTCTTCACAGTTAGAGTCCTGCCAGGCCATGGGATGAGTGGGTCCCCTGTCACTGGGCCTGTCCAGGTGGAAACCAGAGAGCCAGGGTCCAGAGAGGCTGTGCAGGGGCTGGGCCAGACGCCCTCCCTCATCCCTTCCAACTCTGAGCTTCTGAGGCATCTGTTTGTGTGAAGAACTGGGAAAGCCTGGCCTGGCAACCAGGTGACCTTGGACAGGTCACATGTCCTCTTTGCACCTCCCTTCATGTTTAAAGTGGGGGGGAGGGTGAGAGGCTTGGACCTGCTGGTCTCAGAGGGTCCCCTCCAGGTCAGACAGCTAAGGATTCTAGAAAGCTCTAGAATCAAGAGGCAGAATTTCCTGGGGGTAAAAGAGACCTGGTTTGTGTAGAGTGAGGAGGGACAAGAGCCCTCAGGCTTTAGGCTGGTGACCCCTAATGGCAGTCTAAGGCTTGGCTCTCTCTCCTTCACATCCTGTTATTCCACATTTTTCCTTCCTAGTTACCAAACATCTCTGCTTCAAGGAAAGTTACCCAGGTGTTCTTCCTGGCGCTCCCTCCTCTGCTGAGAGCCATGCAGAGGAGAGCAGGTACCCATTGGGCTTTCTAGGCACGTGTGTGTGTGTGTGTGTGTGTGTGTGTGCGAGTGCACGCGTGCACTCCTGTGGTGGGGGGGTGGAGTGTATGTATGCATGTATGTATGTGTGTGCCTGTGGGGTGTGTGAGGGGAACGTATGCTGTGTGGGGAGTGTGTGGATGGAGGGATGAGTGTGTGTGAGTATGGGGGGGGATGGTCTGTATACTGTATGTGGGGAGTGAGTGGGGAGTGAGTGTGTAGATGTGGGGAAGTGTGTGGAGGTGCACGTGTGTGTATGCTGTGTGGGAAGTGTGTGTGAGTATGGGTGTGTGTGTGTGTATGTGGTGGGTATGGAAGGGGTCAGTATACTGTGTATGGGGAGTGTGTGTGGAGGTGAGTGTGTGTGTGAATGGGGGGGATATGTGTGTATACACGCATGCTGTGCAGCTCCACTTGGCTGTGTGCAGGCATGCTGCTCCCACAGGGGGCTGTCTCAGCATTTCCATGATCAAAACCAAGGGGATGAAGCAGCTGGTTCGCCTTCCTTGCTGGGGTCCTAGGAATGTCGTAGCTTTTCTGGTGGGGTGGAAGCTGTCTGCTCCTATGCTGTGGTTCCCCCTGGCATTAGGCTGGACTTCACCAGCTCAGTCAGATTGTGGTCAAGGAAAGGGAAGAGAGGGATGAGACTTATTCCCAAATCCACTGGCTCCTTAGTGGAGCCTGGTCCTCAGCCTCCTAAAGAGCCGAGCTGAGAGCAGATGGAGGCCAAAGCCTCTTTCTCTGTGCTGGCTGCAGCTGCCCCAGGAGGGGCACTGGACTTTCTCATCCTTGCACCTTTAATCTGTCTCCTCGCCTTAGGGAGAGACTGTGTCCTGCTGAAGCCCCCTGAGGGGCCCCTTGCCTACCTGGCTGTGCTCCTTTCCTCCAGCCCCCGTCCAAGTCAGCCCATCTTGGGAATATGCCATGTCTGTGGGAAGGGGCAGGGATTGGTGAGCTCCAAGGGGCCTGGGGCTTTTTTCATCCAAACTTTGCACACAGTTGGCATTTACTGAATGTGTGAGTGAGTCAGGGAAGGGTGGGGGAAGAAGCTATCTCGGAGCTCCCGGATGTGGGGCGGTCCCTGGAGTGCTTGTGGCTGCTCCACGAAGCTGATTGCTGAGGTCGTGGGTCTGGTCCGTGACTGTGGATAATAGAGACTGAGCTGGACTTAGGTTTGACTTTGCCCTTTGGACCCTCCCCCAGATTGAGCTGTCAGACACTTGACTGCCCCACCGTCCATACTTGAACGTTGTGGGATTTACCAAGTGCCACATTCGGTGCGTTTTCTCCAAATAGCTGTTCTGTGCTTGTGTATGGGAGCCGTCCACAGACCTGCACCAATGGGCATCAATCTTCCCAGGCAGGCTTGCCATTTCCTTGATAGTTTTCAGCTGGGGCCCTTAGAGAACCGTGTAGACCTTGCCTCTGGTCGAGACACAGGCAGGCAAGCAGCTCACCAGCTTCCATTTTAAAGTCCCAGAGAAAAAAACGAAGCCTGTGTTTATTGAAGGTTGGTCCAGAAGACTCCCCTTCTCGCTCTCTACCCCATCGATGCACCAGGGCCGTTATTTCAGAAGGATGTAAAGGTTTAATTGCCCAGGTGGGGATTTAGACACAGAGAATTCAAAAAATCTTATTATTTCCAACTGCAGGCAAAGAGTGCTAAGCCTCCATTCTGGATCAGCGTGTGGTGTGTTGTACGAGTAATTTATCTTTAACCAGGCAAGGCCCTTGCGGTAGAGTCTTCAAAGCAGCCTCGTGATTGGTTCCCAGCGCAGGATTTTATTTATTTGCCTCTCTCTACCTCTTGGTCTCATACCTGCTTTCTTGATCGCTCCCACCTTGGTGCTCATGTCCATCTGTCTCATAGTCACTTTGTCCTGATCTCTCTCTCTCTCTCTCTCTGTGTCTCTCTGTGTGTCTCTTTCTCTCTTCTCCCTTCCTCCATTTCTTCTCTCTCTTCATCTCTCTCTGTCTCTGTCGTGCGCTTTTCTGAGAGAGAACGGTAATGAGCTAGGGTACCCAGGGGCCTGAACTAGTCCTTGGTCTCTGGGAGTGTCTGCCAGAAGGGGCTGCATCCCCTCCAGTGAAGGGGGCATGAGCTGTTGGCTGACCTTGCTCTATAGTGCGGCCATCAGAAAGGGGGGAGTGTCCTGTTTCCCCTCCACTTTCCTTGATAGGAAAGATTCCTAAATAATTCATCTATTCCTTCATGCCCAGTCTATCCTGGACTCTGATTACTTCTGCATTTTTCTCCTATAAGATCGTAGGATTTAGGGCTGAAAGAAACATAAGGAATCCAGTCTGCCCTAATGCCCCATATTTGTCTAACTATTGAAGATTTTCCAAACTATGTCTGTCCCCGCAACAGCCTTGAAGAGGGAGGGAGGGCAAGATTATTTTACAGACAAGGAAACTGAGGTAGACACTTGCCCAGAGCAGTCAGGGCAGGACTGGAACCCTGGGCTCTTTACCCTGCACCATCTGCCACCCGTGTGTCAGGAGTCTTCTGGCCTTCTTTCCGCATCCCTTTCTGGTGCCTCACATGCTGGTCTGGGAGGCTCAGGGTGGAGCTCTGTCTGGACTCCCGAGCTTTTTTTAAATCCTGCTTGCCTTGCCTGTCTGAGTTTCTTTTCACCATTAACAATCTTCTGTAATGGCTTCACCTTTCGTTTTGCCTCTGGGGCAAAGCAAATTGATGGTCCTTCCTGTGGAGATGGAACGGCGGCTTCCCTGTGCCCTCCCTGGCTTTTCCCTGGCACCTTCTCTAGGGCTCGGAGGGCGGGAGGGGCAGCCATGTGGCATTCATTCACTGCTCTCTCCCTCCTAGAGATGGGCAGCAGCCAGCCCCTTCCCATCTCCGAAAGTGGCACCAGGAGAAAGAAGAAACGGAAGGCCCGAGCGACTGATTCCTTGCCCGAAAGGTTTGAAGGTCAGTTGGGTGCTTCTGTCTCCAAGCCTGGATGTGTTGACTCGTGCCATGGCACCCCAGTGGTGCACTAGTCACGGGATTATATAAGAAGGGCTGGCTCATCTGCCACGAATCCCAGTACCTAGGAGGCATCTGGTACAACCCCGCCCCCAACCCACCCCAGTAAGACTCTACCCTAGGACAGGTCTGGCACCCAGTCGTCCCCCTCCCAGGCAGCCTCTTTCCAAGTTCCCCTCCTTGTGCCTGTTTCTGCCTCCAGGGGCCCAACAGAACCAGTCTGATCCCTCTTTCAGGTGATATTCCTTCCAGTACTTAAAGACTGGATGTTAGGGTGGGTTAAAAGAGGGGAAGACTGAGGCCCAGAGAGAGGTTGCCATGGTAACAGATGAAAGGTCAGACCTGGGTTCAAGTCTCAGCTCTGACACTGTAGTGTATGACTAGGGCCTGGTCACTCCATCGCTCTCTGCCTCAGTTTCTCCATCTGGGGCAATCTGTACAGCCCTTCAGTGTCGTCATCCTTGTTCTGACGTCAGCTTCCCCAGATCACGTCTCTGTTCTCCGTGCAGTGAGTCAGTTTTCAGATGTCTGGGCTGAGAGGGCTGGGAGGGAAAGAGGACAAGGAACAGGCTGATGATGGGCACCTTAGCTGGCAGCAGGACATGCCTGTGGCCACGTAGCTCCCATCAGAGCCTGCCCTGACTCTGAGACTAGTGTGCTTTCCGCCTCACACAGTCCAAGCTGCTGCTTCACCTTCACACCCACTTAGCCATGCTCCCCGGCCACTTTGTCTCCCGGACCCACGCATGTAACCCACACACCCCAACACCTTCTGCCTCTTGCTCTGGCCACAGCAACCCAAACGATGGATGATTTGGACTGCTTCCATGGCTGCTGAGAAGGGTGTGTCTTGGGGCCCCACTACCCATCCTGAAACTCCCTGGCCGCCATTCCCTTCTGGGGTTGTCTCCCCAATTCGGACAGGGGTTGACTCTTTTGTGGCTGGATACCTAGTCCTTAGAGCATTTGACACATAGTAGGTGGGCATCCCTTAGCCTCATGGCCTAGAGGATAGTGCACTAAACTGGAGTTAGGAAGGCCTGAGTTGGAATCCTGTCTAAGATAATAATTTATAACCCTGGGCCAGTCATTTATAGGCTCTCAGCCTTGGTTTCCTTATTTGTAAACTGGAGATAATAGTTTCCAACCAGATAAAGTGTAAAGTGCTTTGATAAACTTAAAACACTCTAGAAATGTAGGCTGCTGTGAACCACAACAAAAATAAAGAGTTAAGCAAAGCGCACCCCCCGTAACCACTTCACTCCACTTCAGCCGCAGAGGCACGTCCCTCACTCCTGTCCTCAGAAGAGAGGAAGCGGGTTTCTTTATCGTAGGCTGAATGTCTGGGCCCTAGGAGGCCTCCGCATTCAGAGCTTCCTGGGCCCTAGGAGGCCTCCGCATTCAGAGCTTCCTGTCACCTCCCTCCTTGGTGGTGGGTGAGTTCTTTCTCCTTGAGAATCATCTGGCAGAGGCTGGCTTCCTGCCAGGGCTGGGCTGGGCCAGATCGATGACCCTGCTGCTTCCTTCTAACTCTCAAATTCTGGGAATCCTGGAAGGTGTGCAGGGGAGCTCCCCGGCACCAGGCTGGGCCTGGCCTCTCGTCTTTATCAGTAGCCTGAGTAAAGGTGTACTTGTCAGTCTTGTTGGGCTTGGATGGCCCAAAGCTGGGGGGGAGAGCCAAGTCAGGCTTCAAAAGGAATTGAGTGAGATGAATTTTAATGGGGGTAACTGAGTGTTTTAGATGGGTTCAAAAAAACCACTTCTTAAGTATAAGATGCAGGAGAAATGATGAGGCAGACATTGACGTGAAAAAAAGATCTCTGGGCTTTTGCAGTCAGTAGTGGCCAAGAAAGGCTTTGGGGACCCAGACAGCCCCAGTGTCCAGGACGAGGCAGAAGGCTGAGCCTCTGTGCTGAGTGGACCACGTCTGGAGCAGCCACTTGGGCTGCGGCACCCCATTTTAGGAAGGACGTTGACATTCTGCACAGCATCCAAAGGAGATGAGGGCAGCCAGGGCAGGGAACGTGGGTGGCTCCGGGTGAGGGGAAGGGAAGATTTAGGTGGGAGGGGCTTACTGTCCTGAAGGGCTATGCCTAGGAGGGGGAAGAGGCTTGGCTTGGAGGGAAGATGGCTGGACTCGGTCAGCTCTTCCATTTGCTCCCTGAGTCGCCTCGGGCAAGTCATGCAGCCTCTTGGGCTTCCCCATCTTGAAGGCGAGGCACGGTGGACTAGCTGACCTCTAAGGTCCCTTCAGTTTGAAATCTGATCCTGTGACTTGCTCTGCTTGGCCCCCAGGGACTGAACCAGGAGCAGTGGAGGGGAGTCCCAGAGAGGCAGGTTTAGGCTTGGTGTCAGGGAACGATCCTCCTGAGCAGGGCCGTGGTGCTGAGCTCTCCATTTCTGTAGGGCTCCAAGGCGAGGCTGATGGTGTAGAGAAGACTTTTGTTCAGTTATCAGTTGGATCAAATGACTTCCGGGTCACTTCTAGCTCGGGGTCAGTGATTTTGTCTCCTCCTTTAGAAGATCTTCATGGTGACTCGGGGAGAAAGACGGGGAGGGGTGATGGAGTACCTCAGCTTCAGAGAGGAAGAAGCTAAGGCTGGACAGAAGTGGCCATCCGGGGCTGCACAGCCAGTGAGGGGCAGGGCGGGGCTGAAATCCAGGTGGTCTCCTTCCCCTGCGCCCACCACCTCTTTTCATCAGTGTACATTCTGAACTGAGGGCACTGGTGGTGTGCCCATTACCCAGGTGGGAAACGAGGGGGTGCTCCCTCAGAGGCTTAGGAGAACATGAGAGCCGTCTCCAAGAGGCTGCCTGAGGAGGCACAGGTAGTGAGGTCTCCGTCCCTGGAGGAGTCCCTCGTTGCAGGGGTTTTGTGGTGTATTTTGGTTCTAGCAGAGTGAACCAGCTGCATCCTGAGGTCCCTCCCTGCTCTGAGGGTTAGGCACCCTTGGTAAGCAGTTATGTTGGGGGTGACTGAACACTGGCCTCTCCTTTGTTCTGTTCACTTCTGGCCTGCTTCCTCACTTTGCAGACTGAGTGGCTGATTGGTTTTTTCCAAGCCGAGCCTTCTGTTGGGCAAGGATCAATTCTGGTGCCCGTCACTCTGACTGGCTGTTATAAAAGACTAATTCCAAACCACCGAGTCCATTAGGAGACATACGTGACATCATCTCAAGCCCCCAGTTTAGGATTCGAGCAGGATTGGGGCCTTTGGGAGCCCACAGGGCTCAGTTCAGTGCTAGGTGCAAACACCCCAAGGTTTCTAGAAGAGTTTCTCTGCCCACAGGCCTTGCTCCTTCAAAGAACAGGATCAAAGGCATTTTGTGCAGGCACGACTGGGTTTTTCATGAGTCAGTGATAAAAATCAAATTGCTTGGTGAGAAAGATTCGGCTCAGACTGAGGCTTGCATGTCAGGATGCCTTGGGAGGTACAAATTAGAGAGCAGAGGGCACGGGTGGGGGGGATCATCGAGCCTGCTGGTGTGTGGATGGTTTGCGTTTCTTTTGGAAGGTAGTCCAAGCTGCTCGCCCTGTGTGTGGGGCTTCTGGGCCCAATACAGCTTGTGCCCTGCCACAGGCTGGTTTCCATAGAGCCCCAGCCTGGCTCAGGAGTGACCGGCACGCCGTCTCATCCCATTCCTCTGTCACACTAGGCTGTGCATATGACAAATGCCCAGCCCGCCTGGTATCTCAGCTACTTTATGAGTGAGGTGAATTTGTCATGATTAACCCCTCATTAAAGCCTGGCTGCTGCAGGTCACCTAGCTTAGTAGTCCTCTAGACCTGCCCCCTCATTTTACAGATGAGGCAACAGAGGCAGAGAAGGCCCAGGGGCCTGCCAGGAGGAAGTCACAAAGGCAGGATTTCATCTCGTGTAGCTGCTGCCTGGCGGGGGGAAGCTCATCCCAAAAGGACGTTCCACCAGCTAATGGCCTTCGTTCTTGCTCACGTCCTTGCCAGATTTGTACAGGCTGACCTCTGAGCTGCTTGGAGAAGGCGCCTACGCCAAAGTTCAAGGTGCTGTGAGTCTGCAGAATGGCAAAGAATATGCAGTAAAGGTAGGTGTCCCCAGACAGGCCCAGGTTTGGGCTTGTAAACAGACCTGTAGCCATTATCGGACCGGCCTTAAATAACATGCTTGAGGGGCAGCTAGATGGCGAAGTTGATAGAGCATCAGCTCTGAAGTCAGGAGGACCTGAGTTCAAATCCAGCCTCAGACCAAACACTTGACACTTACTAGCTGTGTGACCCTGGGCAAGTCACTTAACCCCAGTTGCCTTAAAAAAAAAAACATGGTTCCATCCTTTGAAAAATGAATGGAATGCCCATAATTCCTCCCATTGGAGGGGCTGAGGCTAGTGGATGGCTGGAGCTCGGGAGTGCTGAGCCTCGAGGGTCTGAACTGGTAGGGTCTCTTCACACTGAGGCTGGCATCACACCGGATTGGAAGTGGAGCAGGTCAGAGCCCCGGGCTGATCAGCAGTGGAATAAATAAATACTCGTTAATTTTTCTTAATTGTTTAAAATAAGAACAGAATATCTTAATGGCTTTATCAAGTAGTTTAGCCAAGGGGGCAACAGAGAAATAGGACAATAGTTAACACAGGGATGGACGGGTCAAGTGAGGGTCCAGGGAAGACGGAGAATCGAGGGTGAGAGTGTGATCGACAGTATCTGATGGCCGCTGGGTTTGGCTGGTGACTTTGGGGAGGGAGGCTTTAGCTGGGAGTCCGATTGTAAAGGGTATGCAAGGGGGTGAGAGGCACCCTGGAGGTACTGCTTGTAGATGGCAAAGACCTGGCGGCTAAGGGCTTCCCATCAGTCAGGGCATGGATTTATGGCATAAGAATGTCATGGACTGCAGTCATGCTGTAAGAAATGAAAGGGATGAATTCAGAGAGACCAGGGAAGACTTATCTGAGCTGATGCAGAGGGAACACCATCATTGTAAACAATGAGAAAAACCATGAGAGATGCAAGAGCTCTGGCTAACACAATGACCACCTGCTATTCCAGAGCACTGGTGACGGGTGAATGATGCCACCCAGCTCCTAACAAAGAGGTCGAAGGCTAACGATGCTGAAGGAAACGGTTAATGTGGGGATTTGTTTTGCTCAACTGAATGTTTGTCGTGAAAGTTTTGTTTTTTCTTTTTTCTTTTTTCAGAGGTGGGGGAGAAGGTAGGGAGAAAAAATTAATACTTGTGAATTTTTTTAATTGTAAAATTGTTTTTAAAAAGAGTAGTATCTTGATGGCTTTATCAAGTAGCTTAGCCAAAGAGATATAGGATGATAGCAAAGATGGAGGGGGCAAGTGAAGGTTTTTGAGAATGGAGGAGACATGGGCTTGTTTATAGGCACTAGGAAAACAGCAGTAGACAGGGAGAGGTGGAAGATAAATATGAGAGAGGAGAGATAGAGGGGATAGTCTTCTGGATTAGCAGGGAGGGCTGGGATCTAAGGTATATATAGAGAGGCAAGGAGCAGCCATATAGGAGACTGGGAGGTAGAGAGAGAAGCAATGAGGAAGAAGAGGAGGAGGAGGGGAGAAGAGAATACTCTCAGAATGGCCTCCATTTTTTCAGTGAAGCCTAAGGGGAGGCCACAGCTGGGGGGTGGGGCAAGGCTACCACCAGAGACTTTCCCTCTGTTCTGGCCTCCTCATTGGGCTCCCTGCTGCTGGTCTCTTCTCTCGCCAGTCCATCCCCCACACAGCTGGCCTAGATCTGATCATGATATACCTGGCTAAAGAAACTCTCCAGGGCCCCCCCCCCCTCAGATCAAATATAGATTCTAAGTCTAGCATTTGAAATCTGTCACAAGCTGGCTCCAGCCCACCTTTCCATCCTGGCTTCATGCTACACCTACCTAGTCATGCCTGGTCTGTTCAGCAGGATTGGTCTATTAGCTGCTCTTAGAACTCTCTGTCTCCCCGTCCAGGCCTTTGCCTTGGCTGTTCCTCACTCCTAGAATGTTCTGTTTCATGTTGTATGAGCTATTGGGGTTGGCACCTCTGCCTGGAAGGCTTTGCCAGGGTGCTGATTCCCGAGGCTGCCAGGGCTGTCTCCCTCCCCTGATTACTACCTTGTGTTCACTTGTCTGGGAGAACCCTTAGACCAGGGGTTCTGTCTGTTTTATGTCCTGGAGCCCCGACCAGGCAGTCTGGAGAGGCCTAGGGACCCCTTCTCAGACTCATTTTTAAATGCACAAAATAAAATACCTAGGATTATAAAGAAAATGAATCACATTGAAATTGTATTGAGATACAATCATCAGAATATTTTTTAAAATTAATTTTGATTTATCAACAATCACTTCCATATGTTTTTGAGTTTCAAATTTTTCTCACCCTTCCTCCCCACCACTTTCCCCAAGACAGTGCATAATCTGATATAGGCTATACATATACATTCTCATTAAACATATTTTCACATCAGTGATGTTGTAAGAATTAGAACCAATAGGAGGAACCACCAGAAAGAGGAAACAAAACTCAACAGAAGAAAAAATAGCAAATAGTGTGCTTCGATCTGCGCAGAATATTTTTAAACGGGAGGTCACAGCCCCCAGTTCGAAAGCCTTGCTCTAGTAGAAGGCGAGTTCCCTTTGGGGCTGAGATAGTTTTGTTTTTGACTCTGTATCCTCACCCAGCACGTGGCAGATGTGCAAATGGATTGAATTTTGGAGGGGAGGCAGTCATCACCCATCACCTGAACGTAGCTGACATTGGCAGAATCCTATGCCCCTGTCTCTGGCTCCATCTAGCCTAGACGTAGCCATCATTTGATGTGGCCTGGCCACATCACCCCAGCCATCTCCTTCCTAAACCCAGGGCCCTGGGGGCTCACGGCTGACCGACATCATTCTTCCTACAGATCATCGAGAAACAAGCTGGGCACAGTCGGAGCCGGGTGTTTCGAGAGGTAGAGACCTTGTATCAGTGTCAAGGCAACAAGTGAGTGTGAGAGAGCCTGCCTGCTTCTTGGGGTCCCCCCCTTCCCCCAGGGGAGTGGGGTAGGGAAGGACAGTTTACAAAGCCCTTGACCTTTGATTTTCAGTCCTGGGAGGTCCCTAGCTCCCTGAGTATTATCCCTGGGGAAGTGACCCACCCAGTCATGAGGCTTCTAAAAAGCCAGGATTCCAGCCCAGTGCTTGTGGTAGGCACCTTGTTTGCAGATCGGCTGCTGTGGTGCCCATGCCTCCTTCAGCTTCAGGAGTTAACTCAATTACTAATTTGCTTAGGAAGCCCTCTGCAGAGAAGCATCGTCATGTGGTTGGCTGCTTTGTGACCCTGAGCTGGTCACTTCCTGTCTCAAAGCTTCAGGCTTCTCATTGGCCGGGGGGGGGGGGGTGGATAATACCCTGGGCCCACTGAATTGTTTGGGGGAGAAAGAAGTGTTTTGTAAGTCTTAGGGCCCTCGAGAAATGGCATGATTTATGAGAATGCCACTATTATTTTATACTAGCGTCCCCAATCCATTCTGTGACCAAGGTCTTCAGTAGGGGTAATGTATTCTGTGCCTTTTCCTTCTCAGACCTTGACTAGCCCTGATTGTGGCATGTTCTGTCTTGAAGCGTGTGTGTGTGTGTGTGTGTGTGTGTGTGTGTGTGTGTGTGATATCTCCCATACTACAGTCTGCCCCCTCATAAAGGCAGGGACCAAGTCTGGGCTCATGTATTTCTACATCTGCTCTCTTTCCATGGTGCATTGCATGTAGTAGGCACTTAATAAATGTTTGTTGAATTGAAGGCACTATAGGAGTCCTCGAATTACTGGAATCTCAATGGAAGAAGCTTTTATTGTTTTTTTCAGGACTGACACCCTGCACTCAGTGAACCCCCCGACTCCCTGTCTCCTCCCAGGTTGAATTGATATCCCTCTCCTTGGCTTTTGGAGCCCTTCTCCTCCCTTTCCAGCCTTCTTAGACCTTGCCCCCCCTGCACACACTCTGGGACCCTGGCCTCCTGGCTGCCCCCCACATTCGACTCTCTGACTCTCCTCTGTGGGCCTCCTCCTCCTCTCTGCCTCCTGGCTTCCCTCCAGTCTCAGGTGAAGACTCCCTCCTGCCTTCCGTCTGTTCGTTGTCTCCGGCTGATCCCGTATGTGTGCTATTTGTACCCAGCTCCTCGAGGCTGGGGCCTGGCACACGGTAGATGCTTAGTCTTGTCATCCTTGGCCTCCATCCTCAGCCTTTCCTGGAGGGGTCAGGGTGTCTTTAGGAGGCAGAGGTCCAGCTCCATTTCCAGCCCCTAGCTTCTTCCTTCAGCATTAGAAGCTCGACTCAGTTTGTTTCACTCTAGGAAAAAAAAGAAAAGAAAGCAAGCCCCCCCAGCCGTCTCTCCCGCCCTGGAAGCCAGGCCGGTGGTCGGTCTCCCTGCTGAGCTACAAGACGACCTTGTTGGCAGAGCATGTAATACTGGGCAGATGGAGAGTGTTCACCGGGGAGCGCTACAAGTACCCACGGCTGCAAAGCACCCGCTCTTTCATTAAGCAGCACTTAGCAGTCGGGGGGCTGGCGGCGCCCACGTTCGGCCCCCAGTCTATTTGACAGATGTTTCCATTTTCTCCAGGCCATGTAAATACTGCCCTGTGATTTATGGGAGAGGAGGAGGGCAAGTAATTATTTTATACTTGCCTCCAGGACACACGCCTCCTATTCCACGTTATTAACCGCAATTGCTTACCGTCGGCTGCTGTGGGTTTTCTTGGGTCTAATGTGACCGGGACTTTTTTATAACCCTACCTGGCGGATTTTAGGGCTGGGGTTTGACAGCACGGGCTTGGTGGGAAAGCACAGGGGATACAACATTATGGAAAGATAAGGTGACCTGGAGCCAGCGTGCACCCGAGGCTCCTTCCAGAGCGCCAATTCCTGGCGAGCACACCCATTCCAGCTTGAGTTTTGACCCACAGCAGGGTGCCTCTTGGCCATAAAGGAGGGTCACAGCCGGTTCCCCCATCAGATCTTTCTTTATTCTCTTCCCTTTTAGGAACATTTTGGAGCTGATCGAATTTTTTGAAGATGATGCAAGATTTTACCTGGTCTTTGAGAAACTACAAGGAGGTACTTCCTGTGCCGGCTGCTGCTGCTGCCGTGGGCGGTGATGATCCGCCATGACTCCCAGAGGCCCCTAGACTGATTCTGGAATGAAAAGGATGAAGGACTTTAGAACTGCCGTTGATTTGGGAGAAGAGAGGCCGGGGGGAAGGAGGATAATTAACATTTGTGCAGCTTAAAAGGCCTCCGTTTGGCATTCTATAAGCGCTTTGTCATTATAATAGGGATCGCATATAGATAAATTTAGTCATCAATTTACCAATCCCCTGCTTTGACAGATTCACCACTTAACAAAATTAATTATGGGGCGGGAGTTTTTCAGTGCACTGGTTATGCCAGAAACATTCACTGGAGGAGGGAAGAGTCTCACTGCTTAGGGCTTGGAGCCAAGCTTGAGTGGGACCAGCAGCATGCCTGGCCCTTTGGCCCTCTGGCCCTCTATCTGTCCGTAGCACCCCTGCCGGTGGGAGCAGCTGCTGTCTTCCTCTCCCCATGTTCTGTTCTTCCCCTCCTTCCTCCAGGCCCTTTGGGGTGCAGCTGAGTGGGAACCAGCAGAGGTGAGGAGGGCTGCGGCCTGCCCAGAGGGTGAGCTTTTCTTTGGGTAAAGCTCAATGGCATTGCTGGGGATTGAGCATCTGTGCTTGACCTCATCAGCCTTGGGGCTGAGCCGACTGAGCTGACCAGTCACAGATCAGTAAGTTTGAAGGGTCATTGGCCGAACACTTCGTGGAGCATAGGGTTTGAAAGCTACAGGGATACTTGGGGAGTGTCGAGGCAGAAACTGAGGCACCGAGAGGGAAAGCCACCTCTAATAGGCCAGAGAACTGAAATTTAGCCTCTGGCCCCTCGTGCAGGCTGCTTGTCGCCATCCCACATGGCCTCTGTGGCAGATCTGGTGACCAGCAGAGCAGACACGGGGTAAAGCCCAAACCCTCTCCACCGGCCCATGCAGACCCAGGACTCTTCCCTGATGGTCAGTTTGTTTAAACCAGCTTTGTCGACCCATTGGGACCCACAGGGATGTGGCCACTCCCCCTTCTCCCTCCAGGAGGCATATTGGCAGGAATATGTGTGCATGCAGGCGAGTGTGTGTGCACATGTATACGTGTACATGCCCCCTCCTGGAAGGTGGAGCTGGGCTTCTTAGTGGCCCATGTGGCATTTCTAATGGCAGAAGAGGTTAGGGGTGATTAGTGAGGCCAGCGCCAGGGAGGTTTGATCCCCATAGGTCCAGGGGAGGGCAGTCTGGACAAGGAGAGCCCTGGAGGCCATAGATTATTGGGGGAACAAAAGAGCTGTCTGTAGAGTCCTGGAGAGGCAGGCCTCAGCTTGCCATGCTAATGATGACAGCTGTCTGTCCAGAGGAGAACTTCCTGCCCTTGTGGGGGATGTTTCCAAGGTCGCTTTGCCTCCCACTGATGCTGGGATCTCATTTCTGAAGGAGTGAGTTGGCCTCAGCCAGAGACTGCAGGAACTCCAGGCTGAATCGCTGCCTGTGGACAGAAGGCCCTCCCATGCTTGGCCCTGGAGCCTGGCCATGTGCCCAGACTGTGGAGGCCCAGGGCAGCCTGCCTCTACCAGTTAGAGACGTGACTCAGACAACATGGTTCATTGACAGATGGGGGGGCTGAGGGGAAGAAATTGTAAACATGGGTTTTTCCCATCCAAATCCTTTTAGCTTTCCCCTCAGAGGGAAAAAAAAGATATTACAGACAGTGCATGTTTGCATCTCTAGTCAGGTGTTATAGTGCTCCCAAAGGGAAGTCCTCTGTGGCCAGGAAGTCAGGCCCTGTGAGGGGCCCCTCACCCCCAGAGGGGCTCCTGGGTTGCAGGTAGTCCCAGCCCTGGACCCAGAGGCAGCGCAGTGGCCCGGGACTTAGAATACAGAACATCTAACTTCAAATCTTGTCAGCCACTTACTAGCTGTATCACCCTGGGCATGTCACTTAATTTCTGCCTGTCTCAGTTTCCCCATCTATAAAATGGAGGGAGTAATAGCACTTACCTCCTGGGGTTGTTGTGAGGACAAAATGAAATAATATTTGTAAAGTACTTAGCAAACCTTAAAGCATTATAGAAATGCTGAGCTCTTATTATTAAAGCAATTCCTGCCTCATTCTTTTTGAGCCAAACTGAACAAATATTGGGGATGTTCAGTGCCACCAGTCTCGACTCAGACACATTGTCCCAGCACCATACTAAATCCCAGATTTCAGTGTTTGATCACTGAATTGTTTGACTAGCCGGTGTCTAACAAATTCTTTTTTCTTATTCCCCTCTATCCTCTTCTCTCTTTCGCCAAAGGCTCTATTTTCACCCACATCCAAAAACGAAAGCATTTCAACGAACGGGAAGCCAGCCGGGTGGTCCGTGATGTCTCCTCTGCCCTGGACTTCTTGCATACAAAAGGTGAGTGATCTAGACCTCTGGGTGCCCTTTGCTGGAGGCCCACTGTACCTGAGGCTCTTCAGAGGGTTGGCCTGGCCTGATGGCTTGGCAAATGCTTTGGGGTTTGATAGATGTTCTGGAGCTCCAAGGGGGCCCAAAGTCTCTTCTTTCTCTCTTTTTTTCAACTGGAACTCTGTTTAAGCCATGCCTCTAACTGGGAGACTGACTTTTGCTAGTTAAATGAAGGTCAGTTATGTCAGGGGTCATAAGATGACTCCCTCCTACTGCATGCCCCGGTGAGCAGCTGTCCCCCTTCCCGAAGCCCTCTGTCAGTGAGGTGTCTTGGCTAGCCCCCTGCTCACTTTCAGTAGCTGGGGCTAGCCATCACCTGTTCATTCTTAAAAAGTGATTGAACCGAGAGGATTGGTACAGCTGGGGCTCTGGGCCTGACTTTCTCAGACTCTTGTTGTGGGTCCCACCCCCAGCTAGGCAGATGCTCTGTGCATCAGTGCCCCCCTCCCCACCCGGGGGTTGGGTGTGTGTGTGTATGTGCTGGGACCCCCTGTAAATGGGTGTGTGTATGCACAAGCCTGCAGGCATCTGTGTAGAGGCCCACGCGGATTCATTCTGAAGAGTATGCCAAGTTAAAAATCGCCGATAGTCTGTGTATGCACACTTAGCATCTAATGCTTTCTTGCATCCTAACATACAGACGTATCCTGGGCTTGGATCAGTAGTAGACTTATCATTCACGTGTGTGGGTAGATAGTTTCCATTCAATAGATTTCTGTTTTTAAAATGGCTTCTATTCCCTTCGTAAACTTTCTGGTCAACAAAGGTGTTTGCCTGTGGCTACTTTTATGTGGGAGTGTATGTCAGCAGCATCATCTTCGAAGATACCGAGGTCTAGAAAAGTTCATTGGCTTGGCCAAGGTCACCCAGGCAGCAGAGGCGGGGCTGGGGTCAGACTTAGTGCAAGGCATCCTTGCAGTCTTCCTGGGGTGCCTCGGCCTCCTGCCGTGCCACCACCATCCCACTGCCTTCCATGAAAGCACCTCTTGTGGGCGAGATAAAGAGGTTGAGAACACAGACCCGTGGCTCTGTAGGAGCGAATAACACACAATGTAGGTGTGTATGAATGTGTTATGGGTGGGGGGTGGGGTGCGGTGTGCATGCTCACACGCATATCCATGGGAGGTGAAATCCAGACAAAGAAATGCTTTGTGTCCTGAGACTTCACTCCTGAGAGAGAGAGAGAGAGAGAGAGAGAGAGAGAGAGAGTGTGTGTGTGTGTGTGTGTGTGTGTGTGTGTACATGTGTGTTCTTTTGGGAATGTCGGGTCTGAGGTGTGTGTGCTCACGAGCACTGGGGGAGGATGGCTGAGCCTGGGCCGTAACAGCAGCAGCAGGAAAGAACAGTTAGCAAGCCCACGATGACTGCTTTTGTCCTCTGCCTTTCACTGAAACAATTGTGCAAGAGCCCCACAGAGGCTTTGGGGGATTGTGTGGCCGTTTCCAGACATGTTTGCATGTTACACATCTTGGACTTCAAACATTCTCCTGGGCTCAGTCAAGGTGAAAGGCTTTTTTTCAGTGAATTAGCAGGGAGAATTCAAAAGTCGTTCAGTTCCACAAACACTGAGCCCTTCAATGAGGGAGGGCAGCTGCCTTTGCCAGGCCCTGGGGGCAGGTGTAATTATAACAGAGTGGGACATGGTCCTGCCCTCATGGAACCTTATAACCAAGTAGGGAAAAGAAACAGGCATCAAGAGCCTACCGTGTGCCTGGCACCGTCCTGAGAGCTTTACAAAGATCATCTCTTCTGATCTTTGCAATAACCCTGCGAGGTAGGGACTCTTACAGTTGAGGAAACTGAGGCAAACAAAAGTTAAATGACTTTTGTCCAAGGTCACACCAAGGAAATGTGAGGTGGGATTTGAACTCGGGTCTTCCTGACTCCACCCCTAGCTCCTTGGAATTATAGGGGGAAAAATACCTCTAATAATGATAAATATAAAAATACCTATTGTACAAAGTAATGTAGAAGTGTCTAAGAGAGGTACAGACACTGCTCTACTGGCAAAGACTGGAGTGTGTACTATGGATCTTAGCCAGAGTTTGTTTTTAAAGCCAAGATGTCCCACTGCAGAGGTCTGCTCTGCGATATGTGTGTGCACACACAGTCATGCTCCCGCAGGTCGGCCATGTGATACGTCACCCACGTGAGCACACACGCGCAGACATACACGGTCGTGCTCCCTGCAGAGATCTGCCATGTGATGCATCATACACGTGAGTGCACACATACACACAAACAATCGTGCTCCCTGCAGGTCTGCCATGTGATACATCACAAATGTGTGCACACACACAACCGTGTTCCCTGCAGAGGTCTGCTGTGTAACATGCACATGTGTGCACACAGTCATGTTCCCTGCAGGTGTGATACATCACACGTGTGTGCACATACACATGCAGCTATGCTCCCTGTGTGTACACATACATATACAACCACTCTCCCTGCAGAGGTCTGCTGTGTGGCGTGCACATGTGTGCACACACAGTCATGAGCCCTGCAGAAGTCTGCCATGTGACATACATGTGTACACACATGCTCATGTCCCCTGCAGGTCTGCTGTGTGATACATCACACGTGTGTGCACACACACAGTCATGCTTCCAGACTATGCATTTTCCTTTCTTTCCTCCTTGTGTTTGTCTGTGTCTTCCCATCACCAACTCACAATCCTCCCTCAGACAGGTGTGATGGTTGGGGGCAGGATTTGCACCTGGGAGGAGAGTTCTCGGGAGCGTCGGGTGTCTGATGCATGGCAGGGTGTGATGAATGGTGGAGGCTCCGCGTCTGAAGGCTAGGATGTGTGCAGGTAACACCTGCCTGACAAAGATTTACAACGTCTCCCCACCTGCCACTGTAGATTGCAAAAGTGGGTCACGCCTCCTGGACATCCCTCGTAGAGGGGGGCTGGGCTCTGGCCAGCTTCCAGGTGTGTGCTGGGGGGGCCTAGGGGCCACGAGCATCTCAGGGATGCTTGCTCCCCCACCCCCGGCCTGCTCCATCACACGGTCCTCCAAGTGGCTGAAAAACGATTGCCGACTGAACCTCGTGGTTTGATGAATAACTTTGCTCTGCCAAGATGGATGGGACCTCAACGGTCAGCCTGGAAACAAGTCTGTACTTTTCACATAGCGGCCACTGTGCGGCGGAACCTCTGGGAAATCGGGAGAAGGCGGGCTGGCGTCCGGCGGTTCTCGACGCTTCCGGGCCGGGGGTCCCTGGCCTGTCGCCTGGCCCTGGGAAGTCGGAGGCGAGAGGCACCCCCGGCCACCTTTGGAAACATTAGCCGTAATGGGAAAGAGCACCGGTGGTTGCCTGGCTCCATTTGGGCAAATTGGAATTTGGTTGCTGTGGGTTTTCATTCAATTAAGAGACTTGGATGAAGTAACAGCAGAGCTTCCTGCTGAGAAGCACCGTCAGGCGTGCTGGGGGGCGCTTGTTGGAAGCAGCAGTTTCTGAAAAGTTGTGATGCCCAGAGCTGAGCCTGTAGGAACTTCTGTGAGAGGGAAGCTAGTATTTCCAGTTGACTTCTGTGACAGTGATAACAAGCTGGCTGTCGCTGGGTCTCCTGCCCACCATCTCTGCTGTAGACCGGGAGGCCACTGAGACCCCTGCCATGCCGATTCTGGGGTTTTATTTGACTCTTGTCTGGGGAAGTGTAGAGCTCACCTTCTCTTTCTGAGCTGGAGTCAGCCCCCCCCCCACTTCCCAGGTGCCTCTGGCCACCAAGGACCACGCTTAACACCAGGAGCTCCCACAGGAAAGAAAGGTCGTGGTTCTGTGCCCTGGAGGTCCCCTCTGAGGACAGCAGGAGAGCTTTCTATCTCCCCCTCATCCCTCAGGTGCCCTAACCCCCAAACAGCCCATTTGTTCTGCAGCCAGAGGAGGGCGGGGGAATCAGGCAAGCATCAGGAGCCTTGTTAACACTTGGTCCACTGGAAATTCAGGGCATCCTGTGTGGCAGAAAGCTTTCATTGTGGCCGCATGAGAAGAAATGAGGTAAAGCGGTGCAAGTCCCCCCCACCCCGAGACCCTCCTAAATGAGGACCTAATTATTCCTGCACTGCTGGGTGGAACGCTGGGGGGCTACTGGGCTCTTCACTGCCCTCAGTCTATCCTCCCTTGCGGCACCGCTGAGAGGCGGGTGGCTTGAAGTCGTTTGACTCACGGCCTAGCTTCCGCAGGCTCCCGAGTCGGCAGGGCCCTCCCCGTGGCCCTGCTTACTTCTGTCTCCTGCAGCTCGTTAATTTTTTAATGTACCATAATTGGGAATTAATCTGTGAGCAGCAGCATTTGAAAAAAATCAATTGTGTGTGGAATGTCTAATAATTGTGTTTTAACCATTTCTTTCCGTCCCCTCATTTTAGGCATCGCTCACCGAGATCTGAAGCCAGAGAACATACTGTGTGAATCTCCCTCAGAGGTACTCAGGGGCCATCGATGCTGGGGTGGGGGGAGCCCGCCACTGGCCCTGCATCTTGGGGAGAGTGCTAGCTGCGAGCAAGCTCGCTCACCAGCCATGTGGCTGGACCCCAAAGGGTTAATCTCTCAGCATTCCTGAATGTGTGTGTCCCGTGCTCACTCTCAGCAGTGGTGAGGCGAGCTTGATAACTTATTGAGTTTTTAAAATATGTTTAATCTGCACAAAATAAATGCTCTCTGAGGTGGCCAGCATTGGAACCCTTCACAGATTCCTTCTGGAAGGAAAGCCTCAGTTTGGCATAAGCATTTCCCTGTGTGTTTATGGTACCAGACATAGCACTAGGGGCATATTGTGGAATAGAAAAAGCCCTGCCCCTGCACCACGAGACCCCAGTTCTAGGCCTGTCTCTAGCGTTAGCTGCGTGACAGCTGGTGAGGCTCTTAGCCTCAGTTTCTTCATCTGTAATATGGGGGTGATACTACTGAATGACCTCCTTCCCAGGAGGTAAATGAAGTGCTTGCAAACCTGAAAGTACCATCTAATTACAGCAGCAAAGAATGACAAATCCGCGCATGTTTCTTCTACTTAAGTCCTAGTTCCAAAGAGTATTGCTTTCAATTCATGCCTGTAATTTAGAGGCTAAAAATCAGGAGCATAGAATTGCAGACCCAGGTTGGAGGTCCAAGGGCTGGTCCAGCCTTTGTTGGTAGCCTGAATCCTGTCGTCAGGTGGGTTATTCAGCTTCTGCTTCTGGGATGGCAGATTCACCACCTCCCCAGGCAGCCCATTCCCGTTTTAAGTGCTTAACTAGGAGAATCCGGATCCAGATCAGGACCCTAGTATTAGCTCACAAGAGCTGGAAGTGAACGTGGAGATTGCCTGGTCCAAGCCTCTCAATTTACAGGTGGAGAAACTGAGGCCCTCTCACCTTCTGTGACCCCACCCTACCTCTTGCTTGAGGTGAAGATTTCCCTTGTTTTGAACTGAAATCTGTGTTCTTGTAGTTGTCACCAGTGACTCCTAATTTTGCCCTTTGGGGCCAAACAGAACACTTGGCTTCCTGCCTCTGATATTTGAAGAGCAATCCCACAAACCTTTAAGCCTTTTTTTTTAAGGCAATTGGGGTTAACTGACTTGCCCAGGGTCACGCAGCTACTAAGTGTCAGGTGTTTGAACTCAGGTCCTCCTGACTTCAGGGCCAGGGCTCTATCCACTACACCACCTGGCTGCCCCTGGGCTGGATTTGAACTCAGGTCCTCCTGACCTCAGGGCCAGTGCTCTATGCACTGCACCACCTGGCTGCCCCTTTAAGCCTTTTCTTTTCCAGGCCAAACATCCCTGCTTCCTTCAGCAGGTCCTCATGTGGCCTGCTTTCCCGGTTGCCCTCCCAGGGATGTTCACTGGCCTTTTGTGACTCTTGGTGCCTAGGGCTGAGCCCAGCACTCCAGTGGGCCTCTCTCCTCCCTGACTTGTGTGTTCCTGCAGTTCGGCCTATGGTCACGTTTATGTTTGGGGCTGCCACCCCACAGCAGTGACGTGTACTGAGCTCGTGGTCACTAAAATCCCCAGACTGAGATGCCCCAATATCTGGCTGTGCCTCCCCTAGCTTGTATTTGGGAAATCAGTTTTTTGAACCCACATGTAAAACTTTACCTTTATCCCCAGTAGGTTTCATCTAACTCAGCTTGGCCCAATGTTCTAGTCCAGGGGTGGGGGACCTGCAGCCTCGAGGCCACATGTGGCCCCCAGGGTCCTCAAGTGCAGCCCTTTGATGAATCCAAACTCCACGAGGCCATAGGTTCCCCACTCCTGTTCTAGCCTATCATGATCTCTTTTTAAAAAAATAACAGTTTATTGATATCTTATTTTTTACATCACCAGAATTTCTCCCAATATCCTTTCTCTTCCCTCCTCCCAGAGAGCCAATCCTCCTAACAGATGTTTTTTAAAGAAAAAGAGGAAGAGAAAAAAGAATCAGCAAAACCAATCAGTGCATCAAAAAAAGTCTGAAAAAATCAGAGCAGTGTCCCTCCTCTCCATAGACCCCACCTCTTATCGACCCTCCCCTCCTGTCCATAGACCACCCCTCTCCATGGACCTTCCACCTCCAGGAAGGATGGGCAGAGGCAATCTTTTCTGTCTCTCCCTTGAGGCCTGTCAGGATGTTTGTCGTTTTGCTACATCATTGAATAGATTGTCTTCCTGGTGCTACTTCATGTATTCCTTCACTTTGCATCAAGTTGTGCCCATTTTTCCAGGCTTCTCTGTATTCGTCACAGCTATTTTCTCTTACAGCACAGTAAGAGGAAGATTCCGTTCCGTTCCTGTTCCATACTTTGTTTAGCAGCTCCCTAGTAAATGAGCATCTGCTCTGTTTCAAGTTCTCTGCTGTCACAAAAAGTGTTGCTTTGAATATTTTGGTGCTTTTGGGGACTTTCTTCTTATCAATGACCATCTTGGGATGCATGCCCAGTAATAAAATCTCTGGACGTTTTAGTTACTTCCTTTGTGTAATTGCAGATTGCTTCCCAAAACGGTGGCATTGATTCACAGCTCCGCCAACAATGCACCTGCACGCCTGTCTTCCACAACCCCTCCCTCACCGACTGTTCCCGTCTTTTGTCGCCTTTGCCGGTTTGCAGGGAGTGAGGTGAAACTTCAGATTGTTTTGCTTTGCATTTCTCTTCTTATCAGTGATCTGGAGCATCCCTGCACATGGTTGTTAATAGTTTGCTATTTTGAGAATTGTTCATATCCTTTGACCATTTATCAGTTGGGGGAGAACAACTTTCAGAGATCATTGGCAGTGGCTCAGCTGTCCCATTCACCAGTTCTTTCAGCTCCCTGTAATGTAGTGATCTGGGCCTTGTAGCTTGAATGCTTCAAGGGCAGCGAGGTGCTCTCTCTCATTATCTTTACTTGGTTTTCATGTTCCCCGTTAGCCATTTTTATTTTGACCTTTCTGCTCTGAGTTCAGATGTGGCCTCAGACACTTACTAGATGTGTGACCCTGGGCAGGTCACTTAACCCCAATTGCCTCCAAAATAAATAAAGTCCTAGGCTTAAATCTTTAAAAAAAAAAAAGATTGTTCTCTTTGGCAGAAAAAAGAGACAAAGAATGAGAGTTGAGTGGTTCTGCCTTCTCTCCATGCTTTGTTACATTCCCTGTGGGATCTTGGGTGTGCCCCCTCCATAGGCCTCGGCTCCTCCATGAAATGAGGGGTTTGGCTCAGGGGCTCCAAGGTCCATCCCAGCTGCTGTTTGAGCTCCTCCTCTTGTGTCCAATGGGGCAACAATAGTTGTATGATTCCCACTTAGAGAGCACCTTAAGGGTTTCCATGTTACTTTTCCAAAGTGGGCGTTTTAAGGACTCTTGGCACCATTTTATGAGGTCGTGTGCCTTGCCCAGGATCACAGAGCTGATAAATGCCTGAGGTAGGATTAGAGCCAGGCCTCCAGCCTCTCTCCCTGAGCCCTGTTGCTCTCTGGGCTTTTCAGCGGGCTTCTCCTAGGCCTTCTGAGTCACTCTGTTGTCTGTAACCTCCATTGATTACCTGCCTTAGCTCCTGCCTCCTTTGTGGGGCTTTGTTTTAAAAATGTTTCCTTGGTGTATTTTGTCAACCTCTGTCTTGACCAACTTTCCCTAAAAGACAAATCAACCACATGTTAAGGCAAGTGATTGGGACCAGTGGAACAGATGCGTTTCACGTATAGTTTGCTGTTTCTTAACAGGGGAAGGAAGAATGCTCGTTCCAACATCTGTCCTCTGAACCCTGCAGCAGCTATAGTGCATTGGATTTGAATTCTGATGTCTTTTCTGGTCTTCATTTACATCATTAGTACATAGGGAAGAAGCATTCATTAGGCACTCTTGGTTTCGTTGTCTGTGTGACCCGGGCCTTCTGAGGCCAGAGAGGAGTAACACGCCTGTGGTCACACAGGCTATAGAAATAGCTAAGGCAGGAGTGGAACCCAGGCCCCCTGCCTCCAGACCATCATGCTTTCTCCTTCCCGTGTGGTCCTGCTTTTTGACTCTGACGCGTGTGCTCTTCCCCAGGATGTGGCTTTTTGAGGTCAGTGGGTGAGGTCAGTGCACATCCACATCCTTCTCTGTAGACAGCTGCCCGTCGTCCTTCTCAGAATTATTCACTTTATATCATCAGGATTACATTCTTGATTTTTATTTTTGGTTGTGGGATCCTGTCTCTCCTTTCTCTGAACCTTTGGAAAAAATCTATTCTCCCAAGACGTAGGGAGGGTCTGGGTCAGCCTTTGCCTGAATTTCCTCTCCTGGGCCATGGCCGCTTCCCTCCCGAGGCATGCCATCCTTTCCCCTGCAGGAGCAGCTTCCTCCTCGTCGGTCAGGCTCGGATCCAGAGAGCGGGACCCCCAGCTTTTTAAAGATGAGATTAAGGAAAGGCAGGATGTTCTTGTGCAAAGAGAGGACCGCACAGAGGGCCAGACTGCCCCATCTCCCATCACGCCCACATCCTGCCTTTAGGCACAGCCAGTGATCCGCCCCACGGAACTATTGCTTCTGGTTTCTCTCCCATTGATCTCTCTCAGTTCTCTTCCAGTCTTTGGCCTCTCGAGTTTCGGGGTTCCCCACATAAGTCTAGTTTTTCAGTCTGGCTTTTTTGTCCCCTTTAAATGAGGTCGACCTTTCCAGAGCCATGTCAAGTTGTGGATTCCATCCCACTAAATCTGAATGATGCCTGCATGATCATGTTTGCCTGCTTGGGTTAGGGTTGATATAGCTTTACATCTGATGTCTCACCCCACTGGGGAATGGGCTGCCCCTCCTTTGAAGAGTCAGGCAGAGGCCAGAGGACTACTGGTCCAGGGTGTTTTAGGGGAGGGAATTCCATTGGTGTGTGGGTTGGACTGGGCAGTCCCTTCCATCTCTCACTGTGATCTTTGTTATGATGCAAAGGGAATCAGCAGTGTCCAGACCTGCAAGAGGGCTCGTGGGGTGTGAGGCCTGGAAAGAAAGGATCTGCTGAGGAAGTGGCGGTCAGAATATGTCCAGTCAACTGGTGGATATGGTGGCCAGGGGATGTGGAGGTGCCACTTCCAGGCCAGTTCTCCCAGTAGAAGAGTTTGGCAGCAAGAGGGAGGAGAGAAAGAGGACCAGAGGTAGATGATTGGAATGGTCTAGGGAAGGATTTTTAGGATTAAGCAAACCTGTCTGTGTTTGTGGACACATCAGTGAGGGAATTAAAGGTTCATGAGAAAGGTGGTGACTTCTAGATCCTGGCCCTGGCAGAGATAGAAGAGAATGGGATGGAGGACGAGGTGGGATTGGCCTTAGTAACTAGTAGTGATGGGTTTTTCTGTGGGAAAGTGATGGTGCTGAGCTCAGGGGCGCAGAGGAAGCCAAACTCAGGTGGCATCGGTCACAGGCAAGCTCTTCTGGCTCTTAGCTGTGTGACCTTGGGCACATCTCTCCCCCCATTCCCTCCCAGCACTAGCCTTTTATGGTTCTGTGACTCCTGGGAACAGCTAACTTCCGGGCAGGACCAGAACCCCCCACTGGGAAATGCATCCTGGCTGTGGTTAGCAAGACTCCTCTGAGGAAGGACCTAGGGGAGCTGAGAGGACTGAGCCTGATCTTGGGACACCATGTGGGTCTGGGCAGCCCCACCCTGCCTGTGGCCGGGCCAGCTCTGTGGAGACAGCAGTCCAAACCAAGGGCTTAGCGTGAGTTCACTGGAGAAGTTTCCATAGGCTGGGAGCTCTGGGAGGGTGGGCCCTGGGCACAGCACCAGGCTGTCTCTGTCTCCAGTCAGGCCACACTGAGTCAGTGGTTGCTGTAACCTGGACATCAGTCAGCTGTGTGTTTGCACTCTGGGTCCGTTCCAGGTGTCCCCAGTGAAGATCTGCGACTTTGACCTGGGCAGCGGCGTGAAGCTGAACAATTCGTGCACCCCCATCACCACGCCAGAGCTGACTACACCGGTAAGTATTCTGGACGCCAGGCCCTGGCCGAGGATCCCATCACCCTTTACCCCGTCCCAGACTACAGCCGCCTTCAGGGAGCACCCTCCAGGCAAGAGGCTGCCGAGACAAAGGCAGGGACCGCCCAGCCCCATGTCTCCTCATTCTCTCCTTCCAGTGTCTTCTAGGCCCAGGAGTTCTTTTGGGGGGAGTCCTATTCTAATGAGGCTAGCCTCCCGGGCCTCCTTGATACCTATGAAATAAAGCATTCCAGGCTCTCAGTCAGTCCACAAGCATTTATTAAGTCCTTGCTGTGTGCCAGGCTCCATGCTAAGGGCTGGGAATGCAACTACAAGCAAAAAGAAAGGCGGCCCCTGGCTTCAGGGAGCTTACGGAGGCTGGGCACCCCCTCCTTCAGAGGGGGAGCCGCCGGCCTGCAGGGCCAACCACACCCCTTAGCTTGGGCTGCCAGCCATAGCCACCTCCTGCCTCCACACCCCCCCACCCCCCGATCCCAAGGGAGCCGGCTAAGGGTGTGAAGATCAGTGGTGAGCAAGCATTTTAAAACACCTACCGCGCTAGGTGAGCAGAAGTGAGAGAGGGGAGAAGGGGAGGAAGGGAAGGATTCTCCGAGGGGGAGCCAGGAGGGAAGATGGTCCAGGAAGAGGGCTTAGTCAGTGACGTGAGAAGGCAAGGTCCCATGGAGAGCTCCAAGAAGTCTGGTTTTTCTGGACTACCACTATCCACTGTGCCATTTGGCTGCCCAAAGAAATGTACTTTTGATGTCAGGAAGACCTTCCCAGCATGACTGCTGGCAGAGGTGGTGGGCCTGTCCTCCAGGGGCCGGAGGGGAGGCTCCTCTCAGCCGGGTTCTCCTGGGAATCCCTGTAGCCGTGAGAGTCTGCGCTGCTGACCACTGGGCAGCGGGTACTTGGAGGCAGGATTTGGTGCCCGCGGCACACTTCCAGGATGTCAGGCGTGTTCTCTGTATGTTCTGTGTGCAGTAGGGGCTCAAGACATGCTCATAGCTCTCCCCGCATCTCCCCCTTCTCCCTCCAGTGCGGCTCAGCCGAGTACATGGCTCCCGAGGTGGTCGAAGTGTTCACCGAAGAAGCCACCTTCTACGACAAGCGCTGCGACCTGTGGAGCCTGGGGGTGGTTCTCTACATCATGCTCAGTGGCTACCCCCCCCTTCGTGGGTCACTGTGGCACCGACTGCGGCTGGGACCGGGGAGAGGTGTGCCGTGTCTGCCAGGTGAGGCCCGCCGCCTGAGGCTCCTGCTGCAGCCGCCTCCAGACTCCAGAATGCTGTAGGAGGGAGAGGTGTGGCAGCCAGGCCTGGACGAGCTAATGAGCCTCCCTGGCATCTAGGGCGGGCTGGGGCCAGGGCAGGCGTGAGCCCCGTGTGCCCTTGAGGTGTCAGAGTGGTGCGAAATAAGAATAGAAAAAAGCACGGAGGAGCGCTCAGCCAGCACTGATTAAGCTCCTACTGTGTGCCAGGCCCTGAGCTTGCACTGGGGGTCCAAAGAAAGCCAGACGACAGCTCCTGCCCATCTAAGGGGGGGAGGTGAGATGACAACAGATTCATCATTGTCATAGTTGGCATTTCTAAACTTCTCTCACATTATCACATTTGATCCTCTCCCCTACCCTGGGAGGGAGGTGCCATTGTGATCCCCACTTTGCAGATGAAGAAACTGAGGCCAAGAGGGGCCAAGTGACTGTCACAGGGTCACACAGTAAGTGTCAGAGGTGAATTTGAACTCTGGCCTTCCTGACTCCACATCTTTTACCCTTCACTACCCTGTCTCCTCAGTACCTCTCATCACAGTTGTATTTGATATTTTAGAGGGTGCAGAAGTCATTTCATAGAGGCTCTACTCAGGGCTCCCCAGAACAGCGCAGGGACCCCAGCTCCCCCTCGTCATTCTGCACCTGGGGAAACTGAGGCCCAGAGAAGTGAGAGGTCAGCCCAGGGTTGATTCCAGGGAGTCCGGAGCAGAGGCAGGAGCAGGAGAGACGGGCTGGAGCATCCCATCGTGAAGGTGACCGATCTTTCTCTCCCCAGGACAGGCTTTTTGAGAGCATTCAGGAGGGCAAGTACGAGTTTCCGGAGAAGGACTGGGCACACATATCTCCGGAGGCCAAAGACCTGATCTCCAGGCTTCTCGTGCGTGATGCCAAGCAGAGGCTCAGCGCCGCCCAGGTCCTGCAGCACCCGTGGGTGCAGGGGGTGAGTATCCGGGCGGCCCGAGCCCCGGCCAGAAAGTGGAAGGGGTGTGGGTGCTGCCCCCACTGTGGCCGAGCCCGGGTTCGAGTGCCGACTCTCCCACTTTCTAGCTGTGTGGCCTTGAGTAAGTTCCTTTGCCTGTGGGTCTCAGTTTCTCCATCCATAAAAAGGGAAGTGGACTCGATGACCACTGAGATCCTTTTTTGCTCTAAGTCCTGTCACTTTCTGATTTTGACTCTAGAGAGTCCTTGAGCAAATTAACACCTCTGAGCCTCAGTTTCCTCATCAGTAAAATGGGGTGCTAATGCTTGCACTATTCTCCTTCCCAGGGTGGTTGTAAGGAAAACACTATGAAATGGGAGGCACTGTTAATAAATGGGACTTTACAGTTTACAGAATGTTCCTCTCCCCAGGAAGGGGAATACCACCAAAGTTATCACACCCATTTTATAGATGAGCAAACTGAGGCTCTCAGAGGAAGAAGAAGCGACCTGGCTAAGGCTGCTCATCGAGGCTCTCCTTGCTCCGCTGTGTCCGGAGGACAGTGGTGCCAGCCAGGTCCCGGGGGGAGGGAGGGTCAGCGCTGCCCTGCAGCTCTCTGTCCTTCCTATTTCAGCAGGCTCCGGAGAGGGGACTGCCCACGCCGCAGCTGCTGCAGAGGTAAGGAGGCCAGGACGGGTCCGAGCTGTGTCCTCCCCCAGGCCCTGGGAGTTAGGTTGGGCAGGGCCTCCGAGAAGTTCAGTGAGCCCCGGGCTCTCCTCCTTCCTCCCTCAGGGCTTAGTGTGGCGCCTGGCACATAGCAGGTGCTTCTTAAATGCTTGTCCATCTGACTGGGCTCCCAGGCCTGTCCTGGCTTTTCTCCCCTCTCTTCCCTCTGACCTAGCGTCCTGATAACTTCTCAGGGTAACAAGGGGCAGGCCAGCTCAACCTCAGGTCCCTGGTGTTGGACCTATGGGGGCCAAGTGAAGGGGCTCCATGCTGAACGTGGCCTAGAGGACCCTTTAGCCTGGGGGTGGGGGGGATGCTTCTTCCCTTGCAAAGGGGCCTTGCTCCCCGAACTCCTCGTGTGGTTTGGGGGCGACCCCCCACCCCTGTCGGTTGTACATTCTCTGTGCATAGATGGGCCTCTTGACCTGCCCCCCAGGGTGACAATAGCCAGTAAACCTGTGAAAACAAATCCCAGAATTCAGCCCAAAGCTGAAGTCAAAATAAGCGATTACAGGGTGATCCCGGGGGCCACAGCCCCACGATGGCTGGGGGAACTGGGACTCGGAGGGCGTAGCACTCTAGGGTCCAAGACTGATATTCCATCAAACTCTGGAGGACTTGCAGGTCCCAGGGAGGCTCTGCCCCCCTACCCCGAGGATGCCCTCCTGCTCAGGCCTCCCTCCCCATACAGCTGGTCATGCTTAGAAAGCCCTGCCCTCCCCTGCCCCCTGCTGGTTTGTTCCTCACGAGCAAAGCTGCTCCCATCTCTGGAGTTGCCGGGTCACCCTGCCAGGGTTCCAAGTCCAGTTGCTCTCCCCGCCTTAGCAGGCTGCTGCACCTGTGGAGCCAGGCCTTTCCCCATACTGAACCCAGAATGCCTCAAGGCTATTCCCAAGCATCCTTCCCCTTAAACAGTGGACAGATTAAAGGGAAAAAAAGATTGTTTCCTGTGTAGCAAACACTGCAGGTCCTCAAGGACACAAGGAGAGAAGCTTCCGTTCTGATGCTGGGACACCGCACACAGCAGGGGGAGGTGGCTGGGAGTGGGCTCTTTGGCTTGGAAGGTTACTGGGTTGGGAAGGAGGCCTTAGGAGAAGACACTGACACCTCCCCTCCAGCAATAACGAGCTTCCTGAGGCAGTGGGCCCAGTCAAGGTAGCTCACAAGAAGCAGTTTCCCGGGATGCTTTGGGCCTGTGGTAGCTTCCATGGGATAATTGCTCAGCCTCCCAGGGGAAGGCCTTGGCAGTTGGATGGAGGCATTCTGCATTATTGAGCTGTTTGCTCATTTTAATCCATCTGCAGAAGTGTTTGCTGAGGGGGGAAGGCCGGGGTCCGGCTGGAAAATGGGCTGAGCCATCCCCCCCCCCACTCTCTCCTCAGGAACAGCAGCATCAAAGACCTGACACTCTTTGCAGCCGAGGCCATCGCCCTGAACCGCCAGCTCTCCCAGCATGAAGAGCAGGAGCTGGGGGAGGAGCAGCAGGCGCTGAGCGAAGGCCTCTGCTCCGTCAGGCTCTCCCCGCCTTCCAAGTCCCGCCTGGCACGGCGGCGAGCCGAGGCTCACGCCGGCCGCCACGGAGAGCCCAAGCCTGCCCTGGAGGCCCTCTGATGGCGGCGCTCTGCATCCACTCACCTCCAATGATGGCTCCCAGGTGGGGAGGCCGGGCACCCTCCTGCCGCCCGGCCATCTGTTCCTCAGCATCTTCTCGGCTCCAGTGTGTCTATCTCTGGCTCTGCACTCACTCACAAACACAATTCATCTCTTTCTCCCCCTCCTCCCCCTTCTGGTAATTCTGCTATTCCCTAGGGGGCCTTGAGAATGAAGCTTTCTCCAAGGAGGTTGTCATCAGAAAAGATAACAGTCACTTGTCACTTTGACTAAGAGGGTCATTTCATCTGGTTCCTGAATCCAATATGAGCACCAGTGCTGCTCTGAGTCAGGTTTGAAAAGTGTTTAGGTGGTCGCCGCCGTCCAGACAGCAGGCCTCTCCCTCCCACCCGGCTCCATCCACCCATGGCACACACGCTTCCCTGTGCTGCTCTCCAGCCTTCTCCCAGGGAGGGTCGAGTGAGCCCCCCACCACATCAGTCCCTCCCCCCGTGCCCACCTCCAGCTCAAGAGTGGAAGAAGAGGCAGCGTTCCGATTTTCCAGTTCAAGAAATCGGATCCATCTTCCCGTTTTCAGCCTGTCCCCAAGCCTGTGAAATGCATGTGTCTTGTCTTGCTATGAAGGAACTGTCCCTGGTGCATCAGCCTCTTCCTCCTTTGTACTTGCTGCTAAAGTCCATTTAAAAAGAAGAAAACACAGTGTTAGCTGCGCTCTCCTGGCACAGAGAGTACACGGGCACTGTGGACCTGCAGGCACTCCCGAGAAGAAGCTGGAGTCTGGCTTCTTTATCCTCCCCAGGCCTGGGAGTTTGTTTGAAGCTTCTCCCTTCCTCAGCTAATCTGTTTGAAACTGATTGGAGAAGTTCTCAGCCTGACCATTGTGGTAGGCAGGGTTGGCTTGGGAATCCCTGAAGAATGTGGATCCAGGCAGGGAGGGTGGTCAGGCTGGGGGGCGGGGCTTGGAGCTGGAGGTGGCCAGGCCATGGAATGAGGAGGAGCTGCTGCCACACAGTAGGTCAGAGTAGGTTGGCATCAGCCTTCTGGAGGTCCAGAGGTGCCACTGGATTTTTATATATTGTGCTGTATGGATGACTAGCATTAAGAAATATGAACACGCCTATTTAAGACTTTTATACACTGACGGTGTTGTTTTGAGCTGTAGTTTTAATAAAATTATTTTTAGTATAGTTGGAGTATTGCCCTTGGTGCGTTCAAGACCCCTCCAAGAGGTGGGGGGTGGGGACATGTTTCACAGTAGCTTCCCTCCCACTTGTTTTAATCATTACCCTGAATTTTAGCTCAATTCAACCGATGGTTGTTAAGAGCCTGGCTGCCATGTCTGTACAAGGCCTAGACTCAAGCCGGGGAGCCAGAGGAGGAACCTGCCACAGCCCCTGCCCTCCACGTGCTTGCACTCTCCTGGGGGACACACCTTGTAATCCAAGGTGGGGAGTGTGATGGGGAGATCAAGCTGGGAAGACTCCATGGAGGTGGCCCTGCCTGTGCTTACTCTTGGAGGGAAAGGGGCTAGAGATGAGAAAGTGCATCCATCCCAGGCTGGGAGGGGACAGACCTATTTGAATGAGCAGCAGCTAGGGGGCGCCACACGGCTCGAGCACGCACACGTCTCTCCAAGCCTTGAATTGAGGGAGCATCCTCAAGTAAATATTTAAGCACCTACTAAGAGCCAGGCACTGCCTAAGCACCTCAGTGCGTGAGCACATCCCTTAGGCTCGGAGTACAGACTGCTCGGAGCCTCTGCTGGGGACTGAGAATATCGCAGACATGACCTCTAATTAAACATTAATTAAATGAATGGGAATTTGTTCCCTACCTTCCCCAGCCTGTGCTCGAAGGCTTCCAGTGCTGGGAAACTCTTCCCTCCGAAGCCCCTTCCCCTTCCCCCTGCGTGCTAGGGAGTTTTCCTTCCCGTCGACCGTCATTGGCCTCCTCTGCCATTACCACTCGGAATCCTTCCTTCACGTAACCCTCGGGCGATGGAGATGGCTGCCTTGTCCCCCTGAGGCTTCTCCAGGCTCCAGCATCGCCAGCTTTTCGCCGTCCCCATCCCCCTCCTGGTTGTCCGCCTCTTTCCCTGCACCTGCCCTCGCTGGGGGCCAGGGGAGAAGTGGGGGTGAGATGAGATTTGTCTCTCGCCCGGGTGCACATGCCACCCCCAAGCCCTCCTCCGTCGGGTTCCATTGTCTATTCGGGGCTTTCCACTGGCATCTTGGGGGACTCATCACCCGTGGATCCCTTTTTGTCAGAATTCGAATACTTAACTGAGGGGAAGAGCTTCTCCGGACCCTGACCCCTCCTTGGCGACCTTCCTCCCTTAGAATGTAAACCCCTTGAGGGCAGGGACAGGGATAGGCCAGCCTTTCTCTTATCTCCAAGATGTCACCTGGCACAAAAATACCTCTTGCCTTGGCTCTGAATTTTTATAGACAATGGAAAACTGTCTGTATGTTGACAATTTACACATTAAATGTAAATTTCGATTTAAATCATAAAAAGTACATTACCTCCGTTATTCTATTTGTACCTCATGACCACTCTGGGAGAGAGAGAGGCGCCCCCTCTCTGAGGAGAGTGAGGACCATGATTTAGAGCTGGAAGAGTATGCATTCATTTTACAGAGAAGGAAACTGAGGTTCCAAGCCAGAAAGTAACTAGTCCAAGGTCACCCAGCTAGTAAGCAAAGCTGGGATCTAAACCTAGGGCCTCCTGACTAGAGGTCCAGCGATCCTGCTTCCACCAGGATACAGTGCTGTTTACACAGACTCTGTCTGGGCTAGCTAGCTCCTCCGCTTAGGCCAAAGGTTCTGATGAGGCCAGCATCCTGAGCTCAGTCCTCTGCTGCATGGGGTCTGCCCAAGAACAGAGAGGGACCGCAGGCTTGGCAGGGTGTGGACCCATTGTTCAGGGAACATTTGTTGTTAAAGACTTACTGTGGGCAAGGGAGTCCAGGGACAGGGCAGAGCAGACAGACCCTTCCTCTCCAAGAGCTTAGGATGTGATGGGGTTGGGGAGGCCATGGGCACAATTACGAATGATAGAGGAAGAATGAGGCCATGACAAAGGAGAGGGTCCAGGCAGACTCCTGTGAGCAATTAGGGGAAGGAGAGATTGTTTTCTCTCGGGCAGAAGGCTTTCTGGAGAAGGTGGGACCTGAGCCTTGGCCTTGAAGGAAGGGATGGAAGTTCGCCGAAGCACTGCGCCCCCCCCATCCCGGGAGGGAGGAAGAGGAAGGACCACAGAAGGAGCAAAGGGACAGACAGGAGCAGGGAGGGGGTTGGCTGGAAAGTCCAGGATGTGAAGGGAAACAGGATGAAACTAGACTGGCCAGGCGGATCAGAGCTGAATTGTGGGGCCTTGGACACCAGGGGCAGCTCCTGAAGGGTTATGTTGAGTGGGGACTTAGGGAGAACAGGCAAAGGAAAGAAAGGACTGATTCCTGGACCCAGGAAATGTAGAGTTTAATTAGGGTGGGCTACCCTTAGGAGACAGGATGGTATAATGGATAGAGCCCCAGAGCTGGGCTCAAGTCCTGCCTCTGCCATAGGCAGGCTGTGTGACCCTGGGCAAGTCACAGTCTCTGAAGACTCCTACCTCTCCTGAGATCTCCCTCTACCACTGAAATCACAGATCCAGTCTATCCCTTAGAAAATCCTTCAGCAGAGATCTCAGGAGGCATCTAATTAGGCCTGAAGAGGAATCCCAGTTCCTCCTTCCTGCACCCTACCCCCAAGTGGTCATTCTATCCACTTGATCCAGGAACACCCCAAGCCGGTTTCCTTCTCTGTAAAATGAATGCAGGAGCATTCCCAACATGTGGAAGGGAGTCTGCCCTTCTGCTCAGAGCCAGGCCAGTGGGGGGCCCTTTTCACCCAGGACATTGTTGGGATAGACGTTCAGTGTCAATTTCATTGGCAAAGCCCCTGTCTAATGAGGAATCTCCTTCCTCTTCACATCTCTCAGCTGGCAAGTATTCTTGCCTAGGTGTAAAGACTGGGGCCCCAGTGAGGCTGGACAGACAGATGCCCCTGGGGCCAGAGGCAGGACCAGAATGGGGTTCTCCTGAGGCCAAGTCTCAGCCCCTGAAGAACGCTTCCCCTTCCCTGTCAAGTCTAAGAATTAGAGCTGGGGCCTGATGCTTCTGGGCTGGGAAGTATATAGAGGAGAAGGGAGAGAGAAGACTGGACAGTGGCTGAAGGGTCTTCTTCTCCAAGAATAGAGAAGGCAAGGTGGGACAGTGGACAGAACAGGGAGCATTTGGGATCAAAGGACTTAGATTCTTGCTACCCATGTGACCCCAGGCAAGTCCCTTCCCCCGCTCTGGGCTTTAGTTTCATCCAGTTTAATTTATGAAGCAACAACTATGTGCTAGGCAATGGGAAAGCCTTCCCTGCCCTCAAAGGGATTCCACTCTAGGTGTGTGTTTGGGGGGGTGATGGGTGATAAGCTATCAGCAAATACAAGGTGATTTAAGGAAGGGGCAGATGCTCACAACTGGGGAGGGGGGAATCAGGGAAGGCTTCACAGAGGAGGTGGCCCCCCGCACTGAGCCTTGAAGTGAGTAGAGCAATAGAGAGCCCCACATGCGTAGAGTAGCCCACGACTCCTCAGAGGGATACTTGCATTCCTACCAGGAGGGGAAGCAGGAGATTGGGGCCAGAGGCCACCCGACTCTCCTCATAAAGAAAAGGTACCTAGCTAAAAGGTAAAATGCTTCCTTGCATATTATTAGTCTAGGGGGTATGATCTAGTTCCCTCTAACTTCTGATCACTTTGTCATTTTAGGGGAAAGGGGGACCCTGAGCTCCAAAGACTTGACCCCTTTCCCACCTAATACCAGTTCCACAATGGATACACACAGTGAATAGCAAAGAAGTCCATTTATCCAAATGGTAGCAAAGCAGAAATCAAAGAAGGCATATGTAGGAGAATATATACCAGACAATACAGAGTGAAGGCACTTTCCTATGGGGAGTGAGATTTTTGCTGCTGTTGTCCATTCATTTCAGCCATGTCTGACTCTCCATGACCCCGTCTGGGGTTTTCTTGGCAAAGATACTGAGTGGTTTGCCATTTCCTTCTCCAGTTCATTTTACAGATCAGGAAAAGGAGGCAAACAGGGTTAAGGGACTTGCCCAGGGTCATACAGCTAGTAAGTGTCTGAGGTCATATTTGAATTCAGGTCTCCCCGATTCTATGCCATTGTCTGTCCACTGCGCCACCTAACTGCCCCCAAACTGAGAGAGAGCCCTTGATCTCACCCAAGAGGAAACTCTCTACAGCCTCTAGAATAAGGACGTGATGGAGACTTCCAGCTCCTTTCATGCTGGCTTCTTCCCAGAGTCTTTTCCTTCAGCAACCTGAAATGGGGTTGGCCTCTTCCATAGTCTCTCTCAAAGTGCCAAGAACACCCCAAGCCACTTGATACTCAAAGAAGACTTGATGTTTGACTGGACCTCAAGGGAGGTGCCCCTAAAGAATCCCTTAGGCAGACCGGTCAAAGCTGGAGCCCCTCTGCTTTTACCCACGTGCCCCTCATAGGTGGGGCAGGGCATTCATCTTGACCAAGAAGGAGGAAGTCCTGTAACAACGGGTGTTGGGTTACATTAGAGATGAGGACAGGTTGCCTTCTGGCCACAGAAGCCTCATCTGTTGTAAAATGAAGGGCCTGAATGCCATGATTGCTGAGGACCCCTTCAGCTTCAGGTCCTCCAGTCCTAGGTTATTTCTCCTTTCTTTGACCCTGGGAGATCTGCACATACCTCTCTGGTGGGATTTCCCAACCTTTTGCTTTGGAGTTCATTACCTGTCCTTGTAAGCTCCTTAGTAGAGGAACATACCCTCTACCCATAAAAGGGTCTATTGAATGAAGACCTTGAACAATGTCTTTAGAAGATGATGGTCAGCATGAGGACACTGAGGAAAAAACCATCAGACAATCAGTTGAGGGAACTGACAATGTTGAGCCTGGAGAAGCTTTAGAGGTGATATCGTTGCTCCCATCTGCTCTGTTCTGGAACAGGCATTAGACTTGCTCTGTGTGGCCCCAGTGGGCAGAACCAGGAGCACTGAGTGGAAGTTAGTGGCAGAGAGGCCAGTGTAGGCTGGATTAATAATGAGAGCTATCCCAAAGGGGCATGAGCTGCCTCAGAAGGTAGTGAGCTTCCCC